GAGGAGGACCAGAGAATTTCTTGGGCTGATTGGTCCCGGTTCTTATTTTGATAGTACCTGTAATGACCAATTCAGAACAAAATAACAGTATGTAGGATATCAGTAACTTAATTTTGGAATATCTGAAGCAGTGTTGCTTAAGATGGCATACATTGTGATACTAGTTCTAAGAGATGCTACAAGAAAAAAAAAAAGGCTCATTGGTCAAGTAAATTTGGGGAACAATGCTATGTCCTTTCCTTCTCCCCTTAGGGTCACAATTCACATTTCCACATTGGAGGATTTAGTCACAGGACCCTTTTTATTTTGTTTTTGGTGCGATCTCTATGAATACCCGTGAAAGCCAGGAAACTGGATGTTCCCCGGGACAGCCATTGTGAACTGTTGGTCATTGGTGTCCTTCTAGGGTGTCTTCGGTCATTAGTGTCCTTCTAGGGTGTATTATCTTAGATGATGGTGCCTCTCTTTTGTGAACTCAGAGGTCCGGATGTTGATGTGGTTTGTGTGTGTCTGTGCATTTTGTGGGTATTACTCAAATTTGGTTCTTACTGTGCTGATAAGATATGAGGGTTATTAAGTTCAAGTCTTATAGAAGAAATTTAACTCAAGTGTTTTCACTTCCCGTAGCAGTGCGCCACCGGGCCGGCCCTGAAGTCTTATAAAAGAAATTTAATTCAAGCGTTTTCACTTCCCAGTGACTCACCTGTTTGCACATATAGTTTTACAAGTTTACTGGCTGCACTCCGTAATTGTTAGCACTTTTTCCCTAGAATGTTAGAAATATGTGGGAAAAAATGGTTACTACTGTTTCTGAAGAGCTAATCATGTGAATTGTTTAGAAGTTGAAAATAATACCTTTGGGCACTTCTTTTGGGTTAGCTGTTAGGAGAATCTTAATAAATTGAGAAAGAGCATTTAAATGTAAGTGCTTGTTTATATTTGTTAAGTGCTTAATTAAATGTGTTTTCCTGGGTCTACTCTGTTAGCTCACCCGCAACGCCAAGCCAAGGGTTGCGATCCCCTTACCAGTCACACACACACACAAAAGTGTTTTCCTTTTCCTTGGATGAAAAGAAGTTAGAAGAAGAGAATCAAGTATTTTCCGCAAACATTTTGTTCAATTTGGAAGAGATAGTATTGAGAAAAGAATGGGGACTGTGGAGTTAGACGTGGAGTCAGCATGACCTTTTCAGGTAGGGACAATCTGGATTGAAATGGAGTTCCACTCCTTCCTGGTCCAAAGCCACATTGCTGATTTATGTAAAAGCCACATGGCTTTTTTAAACATTCAGTTCCTTAGTTGTAAATTGGGGTTAAACCTATTGTATAAGGCTGTTTTGAGAATTAAAAGAAATTGTAATCTGTAGAGTTGCTAGTCCAATTCCTCAAATATAGCAGCTGGTGCCAGTAAATGTTGATTTCCTTCCCCTTTCTACTTTAGAACTTTGCTGTAGTTATTAGCATGATATATATATTTTTTCATGTTGGAGTAAACGGTTTGCTTAGTTGTGACTCAGTATTCAATCCAATTTAATTTTAAAATTAAATTTTGACTGGGTCTATTTTATGTCCTTAAAATTGCCATAAGTCCTTTCTAGAACAAGTTAAATAAGACTTAAATAATATATAAAGATGTATCCTTAACACCTTTTAGTCTGATAGGGAAGATACACATGCATATAATGAGGGAATTCTGTGCTGAAGGGTATCTGGGAAGAGAAGGTGATGCTGTAGGAGGGTCCAGAATTTTAGAGTAGGAAAGAAGTCCAGGTGGAGAGAACAGCAGGAATGGAAGAGTAAAAAGACAGCTGAAAAGGTGTATGAGATTTGAATCCCAGCCAAAAGAGAACCGCTGTCATCCTTTACTCTTCCTGTGTGACTGTGTTCCTCTGTGATACGAGGTGAGAACACGTACCTCCTCAGGTGTAAGCTTCAATGAGATAAAGTGATTAATAGGGCTCCTGGCATATAGTAAGTGGCCAGTTGATATTGATGGTGATGTTCCCACTGCTAACACCACCTGCACTTTCATATGGCTGATCTGTCTAGGGATGAATTTGGGGCCAGGTTTTAAATTCTACATGTTACATTAAAGTGGTTGATTTTTATTCTATAGGTAAGGAGAAGCCATTGAAAGTCAGGGACAGGATTAGACCCATGTTTTAAAACAGTATGAGTGGTGGGTTAGAGGAATGTGCCTATTTAGGATCCTAATCTTCAGAGTCTGGCCAAGTAGAGAAGTGGATGGTCATTTGAGGCAGGAGGAATTGGTCTGGACTCAAAATGTTAAATGTTATATTAAATATTTATGTTCTGCTTTGTGGAGGAGGGATCCATTCAACACGGATATTATCCAAATTTTGAGAGAGTAAATGAATTTTGATACTATTGGAAATGTTTTAGGTTGTAGTTTAAGTAGGTTTAATGTTTGGACCTATCTGCAAATGATGTAACTTATCGTGTCATAGCATATCTGAATTGCTGTTACTAGCCTGAGCTGGGTTCTAATACAGGTGATAGAGGAAAGAATGTCCTTTTTCCTGTTTACATGGTTTTGAGGGGCTGGGGTGTGAATTGAGTTACCTCTTTTTGCTTTCTCTCTATTGAGAATCATTGTAGACCCGTGGATTTTTATGTATCCAGTATGTTTTAATCAAATAGCCATTCTATTTCCTCAGCTTGTCACAACTTGGATATGTGGAGGTCCTTTCAAGCCAGTTCTCTTTCTTTTAATGCGATGTATTAGTCTCTGAAGAGGTTCTTGCTTTCTGACACAAGATGTCTGAGTTTTTCACTTTGTGCTTTTCTTGCCAGATACCTATGGGCCATTTCTTTCAGATCCTTTCATTGGGGAGTGGAATTCAGATACCAAAATCTGAGTGCTGTATATCCTTTTTGCTACTACGGTGCCCTTGCTTTCATTGGACAGACTTGGGAAGTATATAAATTTTGATTTTGTATTGATGTTTCCAACTCAGATTTAACATCATAAGGTTTTTACTTTGAGTTCATCCTTTTTTTCCTCTAACATTGATAGTGTGTATTTTTAGCAACATTAATATAATTTCTTTATCCTACAATCTAAATGTAGTAGTTTGAAAATAACACTACTTATAAAGCCACTGGAGGCTTATATTTGGTTACAGCTCTTTTTATACTTAAAATATCCACATAAGTATGTACAGTTGACATTCTGACTTATAAAACCATTTGAAAATATTTTCTCTCTGATTAAGTTACCACTTTGATAATTGGTTTATTTGCATGAAATCCTTAACTTTTAAAGATTGCTTTAATGTGTTATTTAATGTATGTTTTTTTCTGATTACTACCCTAACAAGGATTTGTAATGTATTTTTTCAACATATAAAATATTTATGTGAACATTTATGTAGCTCACGAATCAGAACTGTATAAAATGTTGCATTCACAGTGTCACTTCCTTCAGTCCCTCCAGTAGTTCCTGTTCTGCCCCAGCTATATTAGTTTCTGATTTATTCTTTTGCTATTTCATTTTTGGAAATATAAGCACATGTATAGACTTTTATTCCCCTTTGTTACACAAAGATTGTATTCTATGCACATTGTCTTGCTTGTTCTTAATGAATTCTGGACATCACTTCATGGAAGCTCTGCATTCTTCTTTTGTGCTTGCCAGTTGTTATCCTAAAGATGAACATTTCGGTTGTTTATGTTCTGTTGCTGTTATAAATATCGCTGCAGTGAGTAGTCTTGTGGTAATATTGGTTTATATTTGTGCAGGTATAGCATTAAGATAGTGAGATTATTGGGTAAAAGGCAAGCACATTTGTAGCTTATTGCTTTTCTAGTGTTTAGCTCAGTGTCTGTACTGTGAGTGCTCCAACTCCACTGTGCAGTAGCTAGAATTAAATAATGAGGAAATTGGGGCTGTGCAGTTAAAGGTCTGGTCTGCTGCACAGGTGTTTATCATCGAGTAATCATTAAGTAAACGTTTTTTGAATTTTAATTGTAATTTTTTTTCAGGATCTCATAGTTAAGAGTTCAGTCAGAAAAATAGAACCACTAGGGTGGGTAAAGAAAAAAATATATGAATGTATGTATTACTTATTGAAGGGATTTGTTACAGGCATTTGAGTTCATGCAGTGTGCGAGCTGGCTAAGCAGTCTCTATAGTGCTATGTCTTCATGCCTGGTGCTGCTATTTGAAGTCCAGAGGACAGACATTTGGACAAGAAAGACAGATGTAAAGTGGGGAAGAACAAGAACAAGCTGGAAGCTGTGCCAGTTCATGTTGTGCTGGGGTCCAGCCCCAGCACAAAGATTGTAGGGTCCTCTCTGATAAGCCCCAAAAGGGAGGAAAGGCAGCGTCGGCGATGGACAGCAAACACACAGACTCAAGAGATCTGCTGAATGCTGACAGTTTGTTGAAGCATGTACACACTTTTTATACCTTTTCTTGGAGGCAACATAATCATTGAAATAATCATTGAACAATATCATAATATTTTTTATGAGTGACAAATGTTCCAAGAAAAATGACATTACAGTTTGTTCCCAAAAGAAATAATTACAATGTTCTTTTCTTTGAGTAAAATAAAACGTTTACAAAAAACCCACTGGTCTTAGATAATTATTAACTATTACATTCAATTCAGCCAAGCCTACATTACATTGAACTTTGTATGACCTAATCCAAACTTGCACCTTAATCAAAGGATGCAAGCAGGAAGTTAAAATTCCCTTCACCAGTATTTTTCCATTGTTACAACCTATTGTAATATAAAGTAAAATTCTTTTACCCACTACATCCTATAATGTCTTAGGCCTTATGAAATTACTTCTAAAACTTAAAACTATATTTCCAAAAGGAAAAGAAAGTTTATGTTTGACTCTTTGAAGCAAGCAGGTTAGGCATAGTGGTGGTCATGTTGCCTAGCAACTTTTGAGTAAATTTTCAATAACAACTCCATTATGTTCACTAATAACATTAAAAACAATCCTTCCAGGAGGCAGACAAGGTAAATGATTATATAGATTCATTGTCCCCTTCTGGTCCCAGTTGCCACGGACCACTTTCAGAAAACTCATGACTATAATTTCCAGGTGGGTCATTAATATGATTAAACACTCTGGTATTAGTCTCAACTCCACTCCCAATTCCCCAAAGCGGTAATTGTGAGACAATAAAGAATAAAGTATAAACAACCACACAGAGCTGTAAAAAATGAGGGTGGAGCGGCGGCACCTCCTCCCACGATGAGGCCTTGCAAACATCGTATCAAATCAGAGGATCCTTGTCAAACTCTGGCTTCTTGGATTTGGTGCGCCCCTGCATTGTTGCCTCTGACCCTGGTTGTGTGTGTGGCCTGTAAGAGCTGGGCCCTTGGCATGAGAATAAACACACACATTTAGGCCAGGAGGCAGAGAAGTTCAAGGGAGATTCTGAGGAAGGTGGAGCAGGTGGAGCAGCAGTTGAAGGCCAGTCACTGGCTCACATGAGCGAGATGAGCCAGAAGAACAGCAGAACAACAGTGTGTGGACTACAGGACGGTTGCTCCTTTGCCTGTACCCTCCAGCTGCTGCACACAATTCTCTTGAGGCCCACCCAAGCCAGAAACCTATGGGGAAGGAAATTGTGGGGAATGTAGTTCAGCTCAGCCAAGTTAAAACATTACAAAGCATGAGATGTGCTCAGGGTTTTCAATTCCCAGCTTAGATTTGACATAACAAACCTGAAAATTTCTGTGAGTGTCTTTAAAGACTGTGCAAATGGATTCCAAACTTGTTGGTGAGGGCATTGATGGGTAAGGAGTGGAATCCTGAAAATTGGATTGTGGCATATGGTCAGATTGCAATTAAGCTGGAGACCTTGAACCTGTAAATGCTGCTGAGCTGCCTTTGCCAGTCTACACATCCTTTCCAACCCCAGCCACAGGAAATTAATCTGTCTTTGCCCTGAAAATCCGAAATAGGCCTCCCGCCCTGCATGGAAGGTACTGCTCTTCCTCAGAACCTGCCCCACCACCGCTGTTTCTCCTAGAGTGGCGAGTAGACTCAAGTTGCAGCAGGCCCCAGAGGGAGAGATACCCATGAGGAGGTACACTGCACTCTAAAAGATTGTGTAGTTTTGTCACTACAGTTGCCTCCTTCTGTATCTGTGTGTTCTGCATTGGTGGATTTAGTCAACTTCAAATTGAAGATATTTCAGGGAAAAAACCAAAAAGTGATAATACAACAATAATAGATAATATAAATAAAACAGTTTTGTATAACAAGTATTTACATAGCATTTACATTGTATTAGGTATTCTAGGTAATCTAGAGATGATTTAAAGTGTATGGAGGTGCATAGGTTATATTCAGATATGCCATTTTATATAAGGAACTTGAATATCTCTGGGTTTTGGTATCCATGGTGGCCTTGGAACCAACTTGTGACAGATACCCAGGAGCAACTACACAGACAGGAACCTAGGGGAATATTTGTGGGAATGGATCTTAAGGGTGTAAGATAATACTGGAAGGAACTTAAGGTTGGATCAGGCAGAATGTTTTGATCTGGGCCCACTAAGTAGAGATTCTGGATTCAGTGTTGTAGCTGAAAAGGTTAGAAAGAGCTCTGACAGTTTGGTTGATTGGCTGCAACATAAACCACAAGGTGACCTACACTGAATGAAGTTGAGTTGCCAGAACTGCCTTGGTGTACCATAGAGGAAGGGATCCAAAGGCTTAGAGAGATGGAAATGTTAGAGTGGATTTATCATGTTAACACTTGCTCATCCCCTTGGGAGGATTCAGAGATCGTACTTTTTATACCATAGCCATAGGAAATCAATTTATGAGGAGAGCCCCCGGTATCCTCAGAGCTTGTATGGTCATTCTTCTCTGAAGGTCAGAAATTAGAGTAGGAACTGCTGCTTGCCCCTGAACTATTATAGTAATATACTGTAATATAAGTTATGAGAATGTGGTCTTTCTCCCCCTTATTCCCTTCTCCCTCTCTCAAAATATCTTGTACTGTACTCACCTATTTTTGGAGTGTGGTAAACCTTGAGTATCTGAAACTGGGGAAGGCAAAACTGCAGATGGGGGGAGTACTGTACACTGATGATGGCTTTTAGCTTTAGCATTGTTAGTTCTACAGGCTGTCACCTCAGTGGTCTGTCACTTCACGTAATGCTAAGGCCTAAGGCCGAATCAGAAGAGCTATCAGAAGAGCTTTGAGGTGGGGCTTTGAGAGTTAGGGCAAGGGGAGGAAAGACTAGGAAAGCTGAGAGATGCAGTCACAAGCACAAAGAAAGCACAATAGGTGGCGCAGGAATAAAATCCAGTGATGTGGATCCAGGATGAGGTCATATGATTTGGTAACATGAAAGTCATTGTTTAGTGACATCATATGGGTCAGATTTCAGTGGAGTAGTATCACAAGTGAAGATTGTTTGTGGTTAAGGGTAATGGAAATTTGACGATGGTTTTAGTTTGAGTGAAAGAGTGGAAAAGAAGAACTAAATAAAACACTCTCCAATGCTTAAACAGATGACTTAGGTGTTGTCTCTGAACTCTCCATGTTATTGTTATTTATGGACGAAATGACCTTGCTTGGCAAAATGCTTGTTGATAAGTTTAACTGAGCAAGATGGATGTTCTTTTTGGGTGGCAAGAAAGTAGTATAGGTGATCTGGACAGGCAGAGAAAGTAGGCAGGAAGCTGGGAGTACCATTCAGCCCCTGTGCCAATGGCAGCTCTTCCTTGAAAGGTTCCTTGTCTCCCTGTGCTGGAGTGTTCTGCCCACCTCATTTTCTCATCCTCTGTAAATATTTGTTGACCGAAATACTTTTGCATTTTGGACCTGCCTGTTTTTTCTCATTGGAAACTGTAAAAATTCATTTTTTGAAGTATATCTGTGGATGAAGTTAATTAGTATTCAGGATATTTTGATCAAGTGTTTGTAAAAATCATGTAAAATACAAACCCCAGATTAACTGTTATCATCAGATTCTGAAGGCTTTGGTGAACATCATTTCCAGATTTTCCCCCTAATTCCCAATTTGAGTAGATGGGTACTTAAGCTAGTGGCATCATTTCTTTATTGGTGAGTGCTGTGGGCTAAATGTGTCTCCTGAAAGTTCATGTGTTGGAGACTTGATCCCTACCGTGACAATGTTAAGAAGGTGGGAAGTCTAGTTATAATATTTGAAAGATGGGGCCTTTGAGAGGTGATTGGATTGTGAGGACCGTGCCCACATGAATGGATTAATCCATTCGTGGAGTAACAATTTGATGGTCTAATGGGTTGTCATGGGTGTGAACTGGTGGTTTTATAAAAAGTGCCAAAAGAGCTCATGCCATCTTTGCTATGTGACTGCCTGCTTTGCCATAGGACCCTGTAGAGAGTTCGCACCCAGAAGAAGGCCCTCACCAGATGCGTACTCCTGGACCTTGGAGTTCCCGGCCTCTGAAACGGTAAGAAATGAATTATGTTTCTTTATAAATTACACAGTTTTGAGTATTGTGTTATAAGTGACAGAAAATGGACTAATACAGTGAGCTTCAATGTGTTCATCAATTTCTTATACCCATTCTTAGGTTGAGTTTTTACATTTTTTTCCATTTTTGTAAATTAATATTTTTGAAAATTAATTTTTGGGAGACAGTTTGGGTTATAACTGTGATCCATAAATGAGTGCAGCTGATGTTTAATTAAAAGTGTTCTGTTCAGAAGCCTAATTCAGTATTTGCAGCACGACTGATTCCTTTTTCTTTTTTTTTTTTTTTTTTTTTTTTTGTCCTTTTTGTGACCAGTAAGGGGACTGCAACCCTTGGCTTGGTGTTGCCCACACTGTGCTCAGCCAGTGAGCGTATCGGCCATCCCTATATAGGATCCAAACCCACGGCAGGAGCGCCGCTGTGCTCCCAGCGCCGCACTTTCCCAAGTGCGCTACAGGCTCGGCCCTTTTTTTTTTTTTTTTTTTTTCCTTTTTCTGAACATTCTTAATTTTTTAAGAAAAATTAAACATTTTTTAAGCTTCCGAATGCACTGTTAAAAGACTATCTTTGCTAAATAAGTGTGAAAGTCTGTCGAATGATCTTTTTTAGTTAGAATTAATCTGTGGGTTAAAACTCTTGGTAATTTTTTGGTTTACTCTGGTACTGTTTAACCTTGTGAAAATTTTCCTTTAAATTGATTCAGTAAAAGATAAAAGTAATCCTATGTACTTTTCATTCATAATTACTCTTCAGAACCTTTAAAATGACAGTCCACAAAGTAAGGTTCACCTAAAATGCATAGCCTTTAAGTAAAAAACTATATTGTTGGTGGGATGATAATTTGATAGAACCTTTTTGGAGGGTGGCTTCACTCTATTTAAACAGAATTTAAAACGCACATTCTTTGCTTACCCAGCAGTTCCACTGCTAGGAATTTCTTGTGTGGGTGAATTGGACAGGTGTACATGTGTAAGGTTTTCTTTTATGGCAGTGTTTGTGATGGTGAAAAAGTAGAAACAATCGTCCAATAATGGAGTTAAGGTAACATAAATGGTTGTTATAGCCATGCCGTGGAATGTTCTGTCAGTATTAAAAATAATAGGTTGATAGGGAAAGTTTTACTATGCTG